CCAGATAAATGACTGAAGTGAGAAATTCAGAGATAAGCAATAGAGTCTGTTTCCAGGTCAACACTGGATGATTTTCTAAAAGGTAATTTTCTGCTTAAGCTAGAACATCATCAGCAAATATATTACTCACACTACACAAGATGCCAGACGAGTCACAGCAGTCCCTTCTGATTTACCAAGTCTTTATGCTGATAAAGGCAGTGAATTTTTCAAATCCTATCTACCCACACTCCAAGAGGAAGTTTTTCTTTAAGGAATTGCATCTAATCCATCAATTTCTCCCAGAACTGTGCCTCTATAAAAGCTGCATTTAGGGATCTCAACTCATAAGCTTACTGTCCCAAATCACTGCAATGGCATCCCTGCCTCTCAGCAATGATCTCTGGCCAAACGTTGCCCACAACATTCCCATGCAGTAGGAGCACCTGAGCACCTTCTGCTCACTCAGTCCATTCTCAGCTTTCATGGAGCACTGCAGACTGCAACATGCAGCACCACAGCCAATAACAAATGCAAGAAGCAGGCACTACAGCTACATCAAGATAGATGACAAAAGACTAAGGAGATGTGCACGTCTAACAAAATTAAACCAAGGAACATTAAATTCCACTTTTACAGATGTTTTCCTTTCCTACCTCTTAATCTGAACCTTGCAGTTAGGAGTAGAGAGTGACCACCGTTTGCTTCACCTGAACACAAAAGACACAGAAGCTGTCCCAAGTTTGCCAGTCAGCAGGCAGGACGACCTCCACCTTTGTGTCAGGGCTTCAGAGAGCAGTGATTCAGCTCCAAGCGGAGTCAGAGAACCACACCCTTGGCCCTGCCACTGGCTGGAACGCAAACCATTTCTCATTCCAAATCCTGTCCCAAAACCCTGCCAGCACTCTGTTTTCCAGCCGAAAAATCACTTTCACATCTGTCTCTACCTTGTACATAGAAAAAATTCTGCTAGGTAAATATGATTTAGCTTGTTTCATTCCACAAACTGTTACAAATCAGGATGCTCAGTCTGTCTACCTGCTTCTGGACAAGCGCTTCACCCCCAGCTGCCGGACTGCAGGAGTGCAACCAAGAAGTCACTGCAGCCTTTCTGTCATGCTTGTCACACACTGTACAGCCCATGTGTGCATTCAGAATGGCAGGAAAAAAGTTTCTGACTACATTCACTGAATTAACAGACCTGGGCTGTTGTGGTTTTCTTTTTATATTGTTTATATAAGCAGCTTCTTTGGGCTCTGTAGAAATGTTTCCTCCCTGTCTCCTCAAGGTTTCCTATGCATGCAGTTCAGACATGTCCTGTACTTGAGAAAAAAATATTCAACCGTAAGAAAGTATCAAATCAAACCTCTTGGCAGAAAGAATTAGCATGTGCAGAGTGTAGGGTTTTTTATTTTTACTACATTATATAGTAAATATATAGTATATGGTGTATATATTACATTACTGCACGTGAATTACATGAGTGTAACAGATGATCCATTTTCCTCTCTTTATGCCCACACTACTGAAGATTGAAAGAAGTGAATGTCTAAGAACTGTATCTTTACACTAACCTGCAATGTTATCCCAATGCCACTTAAGCACTGTTAAAATCCAGTATATCATAGGAAGAGAAAAGCACATATACAGATGATTCCAACATTTGTTACAACTCACAAATCTTCCTCTTCAAGGACAGCTGAAAAAGTCCCCTAATTTATTAAATAAAGACGAGTTACCTAGACTTTAAAACCTTATTATACATGATGACCACATGCAGTCTCACTTTCTATCACACACTATGCACAGCCCTCTGCCTGGCACCAATGGTGTTTGAGCAGGGAGCTGGGGCACACAGCCACCAAAGGGCCGCCTCCTCCAACCCAAGCCATCCTGCAGCACTACCATATGTGGATCACAAATCACAGCTGATCAAATCAATTACTTGCCAGCCACACCGACTCCCTGATACATTACTGACATCTGAGGTGGTGTAAGTTCAACTACTCATCATCACAAAACCCCCTCCGATGTAATCTGTACAAGGTTTCCTTCTGTTTCTTGCAATCTGAACTGACACACCATCACATACAGACCACAAACCTCCAGATCTTATCCAATCTAACCTGTATGTGTGAAATTGCAGCCTCTGAGTTGCCCCATCACACACCTTTAACATTAAAGGCCATCAACATAACAAAGTGAAATCACTGTCAGTGACAGGATGGAGGGGAAGTATTTCTGTACAGAATGAAAATGATCAAAGATGCAGTAACAGAGCACAAGGTACTGTGCCTACTAACTACATTATAGTTATACTATAGCTATACTAACAGCTGTTTAACCTAAGTACTTTTCCAGCTGGTTTATCCTCCCATCATTACACGTAAGCTAGTTTGTATGTTAGACTTGCCTTCTACAGCCCTCCACCACCACCTGGGTGGAAGGTGAAAAAGTAATGTTACTAAACATCACTACAACAAACAACATGCTTTTATATGTGCATGTATAAATACAAACACACACACAAAACCACCAACCAACCACAAGAGGGCCAATGTGGTGCAGACCTTATAATTTCAAGCACTTCATGCTTCTTAGCTCCATCCACAAGTTCAGCACATCCTGAACAAACTTGCTGGGTTTTCTGTTCTGACAGTTTCCAATGCAGACCATTTCCACAACCAAAGAATGTTCAGGACTTGCCTGCAGGACATGCTAAGCTACACTGGTAACCGACTTTGTTCTCAAACGCCATCCCCCCCATTTCACACAAGTGTTTCTAAACGCCACTCAATTAATTAAAATCAATTAATGAGGAAAATGCACAAAAAGCCCCTTTAAATACAAAGACTCCCTCAATAAGAAGAAAAGGGATTTTCCTTACTGAAACATCAGGGGATCTCTAGCAACCTACATAGAAAGAAGGAAGCAGATCAGGTCTGTGTTTTTATGTTTGTAAATTGAAATCTTGCTGGTCAGCCCCCTCCTACCTGCAGAGCACTGGCACAGCCTGCCCACAGAGTGATGGAGATCTCAGGAGATTCAAGACCTGCCCACACACCCACCTGTGTGCCATACCACAGGGAAGCTGCTTTAGCAGGGGCTGGGACTGAGCCATCTCAGTCATCAAGGCATCCCTTCCAATCCCTACAGTCCTGTGATTCTATCTCTAATCATGAATTTAAAACAGTTCATTTCCACCCTTCTTTGAGCAATGCTGAGAAAAGCATGCTAGGATATACTGACTGCTAGAAGACTTGACATCACACTTCAACAAGCACCAGGACCAAATTTTCAAGACCTCCAGTGAAAGAACGAAGATACATTCGGCAGTTACTTGAACTTACAAACAGACAAAAGTAGGCAGAAAGAAATTTCATATTCTTATTTCTAACAAAAAAAATCTAAAGAGCTGGAGGCCTGAACCACTTTAGAAGAGGGAGAAAAGGGGAAGGAAAAGATCATGACTCAGGTGCCTGGCTCATCTTCATGAATTACTATGCACTAATGTTTTCCCTGCACGCTTAAATAATTACAAAGGTCCTTCAGCACAAGCACACAGAAGCAAACAACCTCCCCAGCCAGTCTGCGTGGCTACCCCAGTGACATGACTGACACCTGGCTCGTTTGGAAATCAAGTAGCTATAGATCTTAGAAGTGCATTTTATTTACATTCAGGTTTAGGAACCTCAAGTACACAACAGAGCTCCATTTAGACAACTGGCCTTAATGGACAGCAAAAGCAGAAGAAATGCAATAGTGATTAGCCTGAATTCCTTACAGCAGCCTTTCTTGCTCCCTCACCTTTGAGGGTCAAGATCTTCTCACCAATCAAGTAGTAAACAGTCTGACAAATTAAGCTGTAAAAACCTCAACTCGCTGCTTACAAACAATTTTCACCTACGTCAATATAAAGACCACATTTTTCTTACTGTCTCCTTAAGAACAGCAAGAAAAAAAAAATACTAAGAGTACCTGAGGATTCTTCACAGTCCTCAAATGATCAAAAACAATAATGAAAAAGAACCTACAAGAATTCAAGTTGCTGTGCTATCATTACTGCCTAGTACCATGTATCACTGCAAGTGGCAACTTTTCATTTTAGTTCAAAGCTCTTATTTCAAAGCACACTCAAGAAAACATTCAGAAAAGGTCCCAAAATAAACACCATGATCGATCACCCTCACGTCACCAGGTAGTGGGAGATGATAAGCAGCTCTTGAAGGCAATAAGAAAGCATCCACAATATTGTGAGATGTTGAAAGGGGCTATCAAAGTCTCAGAATGAGCTGACATTGAACCTCCACGTGCAAACCTACTTTTTGATACAGTTGACCATTAAACATTGTCTAATCACGCCTGGTGAGGAATTAACAGCAACACGTGTGACCTTTCACACTAACCTTACAGAACTTATTTCTATACAAGCCTGATGGATGAAGGGGGAGTGACAGCAGACACTCCAGCATTTCTGCTGGCTCCCCCAGGACTGATCAGGACACACATTTTCACTCCAACATCAGCTAACTGTCCAAAGAGTGCCTAACCCAGTGAATTGCAGGAATACCAAAGTCTCATTAATACTGAAGAACTTATCTACTGCAGCCACCACCTCATAACAGAGCTTAAAAATAGCAGAACACCACATTTGTTGGTGACTACAACAACCAATTTTGCTTATAATGGTTCCAAAATACCACACTGTGAATTTATTAAATGTTCTATTCAGAAAAGAGCAAGTGAGTTTGTGCTTATTACAAAGGTTCCTAAAAACAAGAGCAACCAGCAGATTTATGGGAAAAACGGGGAAAAGAAAAATAACACGTACTTTCCAGGAACTTGCCAAAGTCAGCTCCTGAAGCAAGAAAACAGAATGAGGGGCAAGGAGTTAGAGAGAATATAAACAGAATTCAGAAGTTTGTTACCCTCCCACCAAGAAAACGAGCCCACAAAAAAAAAAAAAACCACAGTAAGAGGTAAAGCACTGCAGCAGCAAGAAGAAAATGTTGTGCTGAAGGTTACAGGGAAAAACATACATTTTATTCCACATGTACAACTTGGCAGTGCCTCCCGTTATCCTGCAACTTGTCCCACTTCAAAGTGGGATTACACAGAGTTCCTTTGTTGACACTGCAACGACTCGTCTTAGATCAATACCAAACGTACACGATCGTGATCAGTGCTCTCGTGGGGCTGCAAAGGCCTGCTTGCTGGTCATGGCTGCTTCCAACACCCTGCGCCTGCGGGCCGGAGAGGCTCAGCGCTCCACGAGCTCCTTCCTTCCTTCCTTCCTTCCTCAGCCCGCAGCACCTGACATTGCCGGGCGTGCTCCGAGCGGGGCAGAGGCTGCGCTCAGCGTGCACCTGCGTGCGGGCAGGCCCAACGGCCGGGCGGGGAGGAGGAAACCCACGCAGGTCGGCGTGACGGGAGGCGCGGCCGCCGACCCCGAGGGCCGCGAGGGGCCGTGAGGAGCCGTGAGCGCCCCGCCGCCGCCTGACAGCCTGTCGCCGCCGGGCAGCCGCACGGAGAAGGCGAGGCCCGCACCCCGGCGAAAGCCGGGCCGAGCTCAGCGACAGCACAACGCAAGGGGAGCGGGGGACGCCGGGCGGGCGCGCTCCCGCCGCCGGGCCGGGCCCGAGAGCTCCTCTGCCCTGTAGGCCGCGGGGCTGCGGCACCCCCAGACCGCGGCGGACGGGAACCGCCGGGCAGGCCAGTGCGCGGGGCCGCGGGAGCCCGGAGCCGCTCCGGGGGACGGAGAGCGCGGCGGCGGCGAGAGCGTGTCGGCGGGGAGGCGGCCGAAGGGGCGGCGAGGGCAGGGAGCCGGCGAGACGGCGTTACCTGCGCTCTCGGACGGAGAGTCCCTCACAGCCACAGCGACCGCTCGGCCCCAACAACACAAGATGGCGGTCGCGCCGCCACGCAACGTCACGTGAGGCCGGGCCCCGCCCCCCGCCTCCGCCGCGGGACCCGGATGAGCGACGGCCCTCCCCTCCCCCCGCCCCCGCGGGGGCACCGCCCTCGTGACGTCACCGCGCTACGCGCGCGTCGCCGCTTTCCTCAGAGGAGCGCGCGCCCCCTGCCGGCAGCGGCCGCCAGCCGGAGGAAGGAGGGCGGCCAGCAGCGCGGCCCGGGCTCCCGGCGCTCGGTTCCTTTCGGCGCTTCCCACGAGAAGCCGCCTCGCCCGCGGTGACGCGCGTTGTCCCGCAGCCGCGCGCTGCGAGCGGGTGACGGTGCCGTGCGCGGCGGTACAGCGCGGAGCCCCGCGGGAAGATCGCGGTGCGTCCGTCCTTCGGGTCCGAAGTAACCGAGGGAAAATCCTCGGGAGCTCAAGGCAAACTTCCAGCTAGAAACGCCGGCTTATTTTTAGCCCTCAGGCCCACATGAGCGCGGGGTGCGGAATCGCCCACGCGGCTGCTCGCCGCCACACGCGGCCCTGCTTTCGGCACCGGCCGTTCATCGCAGCCACAATCCAGCTCCTCCCTGCCTCCTGTGCTGGTGAATGACCTCGTCACTGTGCGCCGAACCGGGGCCAAAAATGATGCAAGAGCGGATGCGAGCGATTCCTCGCGAGCTGACGGGTGACGAGGCTGCGTGCCTGAAGGCCGAGCTTTGGCTGAGAGCGACCCAGACCTCCTGGGCCCGAAACTGGGAGCAGTGCCTCCCTTAGGAGGCTGAGAGGTTAAAGCCAGGCTGCCCGGCAGGGAGCTGGGCGCCGACGGGCTGCGTTTGGTCCCCCTGCATGTTGTCACACAGCTCCGTGTTAATAACGGTGTGGGGAAGGGAGAGAGGCAGCGCTGCGTTGCAAGCTGTCAGTAAGAACTTCCATAAAGCAGCCGTCCCTTATTATTCTTACTGAACAGGCATTTAAGTACCCAAAATACTGTGTGTTCTAATGCAAACTTTGAGCTGGGAGAAGTTCAGCACTGCTAGAGATCCCCCCCTCCTCGTTAATACAAAGAGACAAGAATTCAGGAAGAGAATGTCTGACAGATGTCTATAGAACCGAGCTTTTTTTCTAAAATATCTCAAGGAAACTCAGATTTACTGTAATGGTAAGTGACTCTTAAGTCCTCCACAGCTCTCATTCAAGTAGAACGGGAAGGTTGTTGTGAAAACTCAAAGCTCTATGTGTGGTTAAGTTCATGCATGGCTTAATTAGAGGACTGCATGTTGTCTGTGGATGAAATTACCCCAATAGCTAGGCTGAGATTTCCTCAGGTACTGAGGGCACAATGTACCTCAGAGCCCTGTTGATTGCTGTGTCAATTCATCCATGCTATTCAAAATCCAAGTGCAAGGAAATGGCATCCCTAACAAACCAGAGGCATTTCTTATTGATCCGTTGCTTTCACCTGACCTAGTATGAAAGCAAGAACCTGCATCCCTCAGTAAGCTGGGAAGCTATGAGCATAAAGCACAGCTTCGAAATGGTAGTAATCACCATAAAGCAGCTCAAAACATGTGCTAGATTTTCACATCTACCCTCCCAACCTCCAGTTTAGTTATTTGGAAAAGCAGCTCCCCTGTTTATTGAAGTACTGGGCCTTCTGTCTGAGGAGTCAGACAGAGTCTCAGCAGTGTCTGCCTTCCATGAGAGGGACAAACCATCATCATTTGTCACGTCCCTAAAAATAACAGTAAGAACAGCAGACGAGGCAGGCAGAAGAACATCCAAGTGTGGTTCTTAAAGCCAGTCAGTTCAGTGCATCTGTCACCTCAGATAGCTCGTGCTGAAAGACTACCACATAAACACTGCTACTTTTGCACACCTAGTTATTTTAAGACATCTTTCTTAGATTTGGCAACTTGACTTTGAAAAGCAACAGTGAAGTACTCTGGTTATTCCAATCCATCTTGCCAAGGATTTATTTGGTTGCTCCCATAAGGTTACAATTCAGTTTGGTCAGCTTAATCTTCACAGCTAAAGTCTAAGTTCTATGCCACAAAGAAGCTGGAGGCAAGATACCCTCACATTGTATTGTTTCCTTTTTCCTTGAGTGTGCCTACACCGAGCTTTTTAGGTAAGAGCTTCTGCCATCAAGTGGTGTCTGCTGCAGTCCTAACGAGTACCACAGTAATGTCAGTGAGAAACACACTGCAATTTAAGAACTCAGTCTCAGCATTTGCTGAGTACTTGTGACTTCTCAGCTGTACGTCTCCTTCTCTGGGAAATTTTAAACAAAAAGGACGAGCTGCAGTTCCTGTGCTAGGAGCTCAGGGACTGGAGACAAGTCTTCATCCGTTCTGAGAAAGACCTGCATCTGCAATAGATTTTTCATGACGTACCTGTTCTTACCTTCACAAGCACACCCAGAGTCACCTGTGGCACTTGAATGGTGCCAAACCAACACGTTTCAGTAAATAGAGCTGATATTGCCAGATTTTTAAAAGCCATTGTGGTGACATCAGGCATAAAGAGATGACAGCATCAAGAACTATAGTGTATTAATTATAGACAAATAAATATAAGTCCATATTGTCAACCAGTAAGTATTGGCTCAGAAATTCAGCTAAGCTTTAATAGTTCTGAATGACCCAATTATACTGTCATGTAGTCCAGTAATTGCCAGCAAAACAGAACAATTTAAAGAGCAATTAACTTCTCAATGTCAATTCTTGCAAAGCTGATTTCAAAACTCGCGTTGCAACTTCAGAATACGTATACATCCAAAAACATTTACTCTTCATTACGCTGAATAAAAATGCCAACAGCACCCATTTGAATTGAACAGAGCTCAAACAGAACAGCTACAGACCTGACACACTTGCTCTCAGCATGCCAAAGATGACCTCATAAAAAAAAGCTGGGCTGGGACAAAATCCAGTTAACCCAGGAGACTGGCACCCTCTTTGGAAAGGACTAAGGAGCAAAGTCAGCTTGCTACAGACACTAGGTTTTATAGCTGATCCTCTTCTTAGAGAGCAACCTTTTACCCATGTTTAGACATCCTCCCACTTTGTGTGACTCACCTGGCTATCTTGTCCTATTACTGATGCACAACCAGATGGAAGACCCATGCTTCCAGGCACTGCAGCCTGAACTATATGTGAGGGCCAGACAGTGCTGATTTCCTTGTTGAAATCCTTGTTGAAACTTGTCACCTAGAATTGGCTCAAATCTATTTAGAAAAATGTTAGAACTTCTCTTACCACACTCCCCTGCTGCTGCCCTGCACAGCTATGTGTGCAAACTAACACAAGGCAACAGCACTTACTGCACTTCCCAGGGGAAAAAAAAACAAGAATTCAAGAGCTGCAGCTTTGCCCTTTTCCCACAGAAGTGAAGACTAAGGAGCCATCATCCCGATTTTACCTGACCTCAGAGATCCAAGGGCACACAGACATGTGACAAATGCATCAGCTGCCCACAACATACAGAACAAAGCCATATAAAAGATCTGTCTGGGTAAAGTATTTGTGTTTTTCCTGTCATCACTTGATTGTGCCTGCAATGAAACAGTTCAGGCTCCTCCTGAGCCCTCCATGCTGACCCTGCCAGCAAAGGTTAGGAGATCAGCAAGAACAGAACCAAAATGCTTGGACACACTTGAAGACTCATGTGCATTCCTTCCCCTTTATAAAAGGAAAAGCAAAGCAAAATGCAGCTGAAACAACCCGCCCAGCTCTCAGCTGGAGCACTATCAGGGCTGGGATGCAGTGGCTATTTTAAGATATGGGGAGGCTGACAATGTTCAGCTGTCACCACTCACCAGTGGACGGTATCTCAAATATTTACACAGCCATGTTCTTTTCAGAGGAATTGCAAACATAACTCTTTGAACTAGAGCTGCTGTATAGAAGGGAAAAGCATATCAAGAAGGGTCCTCTACTTCCTCACCCACCCAAATCAGGATGCTGAGCTCTGGGGTTCAGACACTGACACAGTGTGGAGTGGGGATCACTACAGTAGTTTGTAAATAAAACAATATAGTTTGGAACCTAAAATAATCACAGAAGAGACTGGAGATAATGATGCTTTATTTGTACATTTCAGCAACAGGAGAAATAATCAAAGATGAAATTATTTGCTTTGTTGTAAAGTATAAAAACATTTAATTATAAATATTTAGCTAAAAAAGCGTGATTTTATAAAATATAATCTGTGAAGATATATATACACACAGTTTAATTGTTTAGCAATTCTTTCACCTGACATTAAAGAGTAGAGGTTTTTCTATTTGTTATTCCACGCTCACAGTTTAGTGCTCATAGTTTAAGAAGCAAATCAGACAAATGAAATAGATGACTGCTGAATTTTGGTCTGGAGAGAAAAAAACATGCACCAACTGGGGCAACAGCAAAGACAGAATTTGAGCAAGTTCATGTTTTGAGAGGTCTCTCCAAGGGAACACAGCTTCCCTCTGTCATAACCTACAGCATACATCCAGACAAGCATCAGGTATTTAACCTTTGTGTGTTAAAGGAAATAGCTAAGTACAGTGCAAGCCCTCTAAATCCAATTCAGCTAAAGATGGTAGCCTCTCTGGTTTTCCCTTCTTGAGCAGGGATCGCTCAGTATGCTGGGCTGGTTTCATCTGTTATGGCTCTAATGAAATCAAACACCACCACCACCTTTATGATTCAGGATGAGCACATATCCAAATTGGAAAAACAACAAACCCTGCGTGCCATCCAATTTTGTCATCCATCTGGCAGTATCCCTTAAAAACAGATACAGCTAAAGCTGAAAAGCACAGTGAAGCCATATAGTACACTAAACATGATGGAATGTGGAAGATACATGATTAGGCAACTCAGTTTTCTATTCCTTGTTTCAGAGAGCCAGCTTCCTCCCTTCAAAGTTCTCAGAAATCCTGCATCTTATTGAAAGGTTAGTATGGCACTTCAGAGAAGAAAAACTGGAAGACTCTCCAACATGCTGGGCAGAAGAAAAAAGCTACAGGAAATAATTAATTTGATCCCTGTCCCTAGTAGTTATCTTTCTCTCTTCACAGTGCTTTCAGTGCCTGCAGCACAGGGCTTTGAGGAAGACTAATAAGTCTAGGATGTGTGACAGCAGTGGCACAAACATACAGGAAGTGAATCTGTACTTTGTACACTCTGCTTTACACAAGACCTCACTACATGAATGTAAGCAAGGAATGAATTAATAAGGAAAAGTGTACAGAAAGAGAAAGAATGAAGTAGGTAAACACTTGTCAGTGCTTACCCATGATTTGCTACCTGCTGTTTCTACTTCAGGATGATGTACTCCTGACAGTTCAAAGCAAACAGCATGCACACAGCTCTTCTGATTCACATCGTTATGAATGCATAGTAACCACAAGAGTTGTGTCCTTAGAAACTCGGAAGGATCTTCAAGAGAGGAAGACTAAAATCTGTTACAGCTTCACTTGGCAGGATCCAGGCTGTTCTCTCCAGGTAGAACCCTGATCTGGAAAACGTACCAAGTCCTGTGCAATCAGAGCACATATTGGCTGGCTGCTTACTGGGTAAATGCAGACTTTAACTCCCTGAAAGCTGCTCGGCGGTGTTTCCTTTCCTCCTCTTCTCGCTTCCGCTCATCTTGCTCAGCTCTTATTTCTGCTTCAAACTTACTTGCTGAAGAAAGGGCTTGAACCTTCACGAAAGAAAAAAAACAAACACTTTGCATCAGAGACAGACTGAAGTCTGGATTACTCTTAAGTGAGCAACACTAAACTGTTTACTGCACCTCTCATTGCTTAATGGGAAGTGTCAGCATGGGTCAAGTATTAATTAGACTGCACTACTTGGGTATTTACATCCAATACTTGCTAGCTTGCTTGACTTGGACATCAGTAAAAGGAAGGTCATTTACTAATAAGTCACTAGCAAGTAACCAAAACAATGCCATCAGTACTAGGTCAAATGCATTATTTCTGTAAGCATACAGCATAGCATAAAGTTGTGAGTAAATAGTGGGAGAAACTACAGAAGAAAACAGCTCTGAATCATAGCCAAATCTGAGATAATCATACACCACCACAGATAATCTGCAGATCAAAGAGACTTTTTTTGCCCTCTGTTTTTCCAGCTTTCATCTCAGTACATCTGCTGTGCAATAGCTGTGCTACACTCTCAGGACAAAACTTCTTATGTAAGCACACAGGATTATTCTCTCTCCAAGAGAACTTGCAAAAAGGGTGCTTTGTCAGCTTCACTGTGTAAAGCTCTTTCTGCCAGCACCAGGACTCTGTGGAATAATTTTGATTCCAAAGGTTACAAAGAACTGCTCAAGAAAGACATCTGAAATTCTATACTTCAAAACACTTAGTTCACCACTAAACTGAGTTCTCTGGTCAAGACTTGAAAAATGAGAAAGTCAGTCCCAATGCATTTGTTTCCAGGATGCTTTTGTCTTCTAAAAGAAGTCAGCCAGCTGGTCACGTACAGCTCTTGGCCACTGGACACAAGCCCACCAGTCAGCTCTATCAGGGTAAAACCTACAGCAGAGGCTGAATGAAGGCATTCTAGTGTTGATTAAACCGCAGAAGAATGGTGTAGCTAGATAAAGTCTGAAGGGAAAAAAACAATAGAAATTTTAAAAAAGGTGAAGGCCAGATGAAGTTACACATTCTATAAGCTAGGGATAAAATAGACCGTATCTTCTACTGAAAAGCAAGCAGGGTTAGAATCTCAGTGACAATCAGGTTCTATGTGCAGTTTCATGTCTGTCTTTGGTACAACATACCTTAGCTTCAAAGAAGTTCTTGGCTCCTTTGACTCCTTCAATGGAGACATCTATCTCAGAGAGCTTTGCAAGAGTCAACAGTCCACTGTCCTCCTCAAGTTCCCCAGCTGCAGCTTTGTGGAAAATCAGCAGGAACTATCAAGGCAGAAAAAACATTCAAGTCCTTCGCTGAGATGAAGAATTAAAATGCAAACAGCACAGATATCCTCCTGCGGGGGGAGGGGCAAGGGGGTAGGTATTGACACTTTAGAGCTAATGATGCCAGTTTTATAGAAATCAAATGGCAACTTGTGCTCTCATGTCCTAGCTCCACTACACAGCCCTGCTGGACTAAAGAGAGAAACTCTTAGGAAAAGAGGGTTTGTGTGGAACGATGCCATGATGAAGCACAGCTGCAGGGCTCCTACACAGCAAGGAGACCATCCCCAGCTGCCTGGTACAACTGCAAGGTGGGCTCTGATCCAGCCCTCTATATCCTCAAACCCTAAATGCTTCCCCCACTGCTGTGATCTGAGACCCCACATCCCACAAGAATGAAAGCAGGACAACAAAGACTGCCTTGCCTCACACCTCAGCCTCTCTGTACTGACAGTCCAGCTCCCCTAGGAATGATAATCAGTGCAATTGTGTGCACTTGAAAGCAAGTCATCAACCCTGCTTTCAGTACTGTCCACACAGCATAGGAGGAAAAAAACAAAATTAAGGCCAAATGCACCAGGAACAATAGCACATGGTCACTTCAACTGGCTCCTTGTCTACGACACAGGAAAGATTACTCAAATCAGTACTTGGAGCAATGCCTCAGCATGTTCCAGGAAACCCTGAATGGTTTAGCTACAATGAATAACACCCAGGTATTTCTGTTGTGCCCATTAAATAACACACAGGAGAGCTTCTGTAATATGTCTGTCAGGTCAGATCAGGGCCATGCCCTCAAGGGAGGTGACTCAGAGGTAACTTAAGGGAGTACCAGCATCCACAGTAACTAGTTTTGAAACCTTTGTCCTGCACAGAACTACAGACATTTAACAAATGTGGAATCACTACAGCAGGGCTCAAACTGGCAAATAAATTGCAGAAGAGAAAGAATCTGCCATATTACCATTGAGGAAAGCACTTTAAAAAAAACACACACAGAAGGAACAAGAACAGCTGCTTAAAAATAAAGATCTCTGCATCACCTCATAAGCAAATTCACACAACCAATTCCCTGCTATTCTTGGGCACCCCAGGAGGTGTCTCAGTGCTCGCTTGGTACAGCACTGAAGTAACAGAGACAGAACCAAGTCACCCAGTACCAAAGGAGTCCAGTAATAATGCATTGCTGGATCATTTCACCCCAGGAGAGAGAGCTGCAAATACCACACAGAACTGCTGTGAAGTCCACCTGCACAGGCACACCCGACATCCCTGGCACTTTAGGACTTGGCTTTCTCCTCCAGAAAGTGCCTGTGTCATCCCGGAGGAGGGCAGCAGAGTTCCAGCATCTGAACTGAGAAAGCCTTATTCTTCTCTTTCAAATTGTTTGCAGAAACCAACGGAGATGGGAGAGTTTGGGAAGATTCCCATGGGGAGGGGTGTGGAGATGACGGCAGTGCTGGCTGCCCTCACACAGAGGCAGCATTACCAGGCCTTGCTTCATGCAACAGCTTTGTAACCCCTTGTTGTGCTCAGCACAAAACAGACAGAAAGCAGTCTGTGCTTGGAGAGAAACTTCATTCCCCTCCAAAAAACATGCAACAAATCAAATAATGCTGTGCTGAACAGAAACGAAATCCTTCCCTAGACAAGCTCTCACTCTGCTCAGATCCGCTAGGTTTGGGCTTAGTTCCTCTCTTCTGCCACCACTGCTGAGCACAGGAGCAGGGAGAGCCAGCAGGCAGGCCAGGCTGCACGCACTGCAGGTCATTACAGTTCCTCCTCACAGTTTCTGCTCCACCCTGCAAGTCCCACTTCCTGGCATTGGACAAGTGCAGCAAAAGCAGCACAATCCTGAGGTCTGGCACAGCTGTTGCCCAGGGAGGGGACTGGAAACACCCAGTCACAAGTACAAGTGTGCATGAATCATCCCGAAACCAGGGGATGGGGAAGCAATTCCTCCAATGGAATGAAGGCTGCTGCAGCCAAGGAAAGCAAGCTAAAAAGGAAACCAAGGAACAAGCCACCAGCTTGAGTGGACACAGCATAACTCCAGCCTCTGAGTACCCTGTGATGCAGGCTATGGGGCATCATTCTGGTTTCCACCTGATCTCATGATTCATCCTACATGTCAGCACACTGCCTGCAGCCCACCCTCACCAGTTACTTGCTATTGAGGCATCAATCCTCACTTAACATCAAGCACTATCAGAATTTTTAAATTCAGAAATAGGAGCCCATCAGGAAACCAACTCATTTCACACCTTTGCTAGACCCAGGATGTGGTACATGCAACTAAGCATCAGAGAAATGTCAAGAGAAGTGAATAATGCTATACTTCTAAAGACCCAGCTCTTAAAAAAAACAAACTGGTACAACAAGACATACTCTTTCCACCCCACAAACTTCATAGGAAGCAAGAGATATATTCACCCTCACATCATTCATTAGCAAAGACTTTATCAGTGCCAAATCTCAGAGCAATGCTGCAGACATGCAACCCACTGAACGCCATGCTGACCCCCAGGACACGAGGACAGGTATTGGATCAACTGGCAGCAGTGCCCTTGGAACTGCTTACCAGAGAAGTGGTGTCACCCTGGGCTGCAGTTGGCACAAACCCTGCTAGCAAACATGACGTGGGTCAGCACTTAAGGAGGTAAGGGTGTGAGGAAGTGGGTGGATTCTGGTAAACTGTAGATAGCAGTTAGAATTAACTATTACTATTATACCAATTAACTCTGTTTTCCTGTGGTAATGAAAAAACCAACCTGAAGATTTTTCTCCCACTGCTGTGCATGATATCTCAAAGCCTCAACTGCTTGGCTCAAGTTGCAAAGGAAGTCTTGTGCAGTTAATGGTTGATAAACTGACAGACTCTCAGAAGTCACCAGTACAGGCAGCACTCCTAGTAGGGCCAACAGCTTGTCAGCAGCAAGACAGAGCAACACAGGCCTGCCTTCCAGATAACAGCTTACGCAGGATGGGAGGACACGGCACTACACAAAGCAACTACAAAAGAGGTTACCTGCTGCAAACGAAAGAGGACCTTAGCATTTCTCTGGCCAGGCCTCAAGCAGCATATTTGCAGGCAGGTTCGTCAGGACACATCCTCTGCAAAGACAGACAGGAGCCCTCCAGCGGTTGAGTTGCATGCTGCTGAGTTCAGGCATGCATTTAAAACAGGGTTTCTCCTTGCATTATCAGTGTGGTCTGAGTTAGCTCACTCTCCACATGCTCACTAGTCACCAGTAGCAGGAAGTGGAGCAGGGCAGGGCCATGGGGCTGGTTTAGGCCTTCTCACCCACCAGGAAGCCCATCTTCCTGCCAACCCTCTGCCCAGCACTGCTGTAACAACACAACAAGCACACTGCTCCTCTCTATCACTGAAAGATCTGAGTACCTGCCAAGACTGCGTAATTTGTCCCCAGAGCTCTGCCAGTAACATCGCCTCATTCCAGCCTGTGTACCACTCAAGCTTGTGTTTGCTTGCCCATCTTTTTGCATCTGGCTACGGACTATAACAACAGCACCAGCTGCTGCCTGCCATGTGCCAAGAGCTGGCAGCACACTCAGCACATGCCAGCTGATGTGTGGCCATGCAAGGAGCTGTGCTCCAAACAGGTGGCAGCAGAAGAGGAGCAACGCTACCACTTGTGCTGAAACACCAATGCCAAGACATCACAGGCTGGATCTCCCAGAGCCCTGGGGGATAAAGGCACTTAATTTTCATTGCAGAAAGCATCTGCAGCACTGCTCACGTAACCCAGAGCTGTTCTAGCTCTTCACCCAGCCCAAAGGCGAGCCCAGGCAACACACAGCAAAGCAGAGAGGGCTTCTGCAGTGCACACAGAAGTTTGGCAATCACAGGTGTGCATCTGTTCTGCCTTCAGTGCTTATCTTGCCCCAGCGTGACTTGGAGCCAAGGACACAGTGCTCTTCCTGCTCCACTGGATTCTTTGCTACCTCCAGTTCACCTCTGCCTGAGCAGGTACCCTTCCCTGCACAGAGGAACTGCCAGCTTAGAACTTCACAGGTCTAAGCAGAGAGGTTCTCACTGCAGTTGAAAACATTCCTCTGGGCAATAATGGGAACAGTATGTGAGAAGGGACAAAGCAAAGCTGTAGGAGGAATGGTAGCATACACAGTTACTCCCAACAGCTCTAAAGGGTGGACAGAGGCATCCTTATTTTCCCCACCCCTCAAAAAAAACCAAACACCTCAAACAAATGGCACTTTAAAAATCAAGAATATCCAGAACTGTGGAGAGCTCTGCATCTCACCCCCAGAACTGAATACCCACCCTAGAAGCATGGCAAGAGCGCAGTCCCTCCACAAACAGGTCCTGAGCAGCAAGGCTTCTTTATCTCCAACACATCCTGGAGGGAGGAGCAGCAGGATGGCCACACAGCCTTCCACTGCTGCAGAAGTCAATAACTGTACTGCCTGAAGAGCTGCTGGTTAATGTATAAAACCACACTGTTATGCACACTGCTGATACAGGCAGCAATCAAACCCTGGTATAAGATTATTCAATAGGAGGTTGTGATAACTGCTGTGATAAAGGCTGGGTACCCTTAACTGCACAAGTGCCACTGACTAAGCACTCTTTCTTTCATCCAGCAGCAGCTCCTGCCCTGCCCACAGTAGGGCTCCCACCTCCTCCAGCACAACTGACCAGTAGCATCACAGCAGAGCAATGACAGATCTCTTTGCTGACTGGAAGATGAGCATGGAGACAGTTGCTGACAGTGCTTCAGATCTGGATCTGCCCATGGCCCACCTGCTGCTTTATCACATCCCACAATAGGAGGAATATGGAAGGGACAGTTCTACAGTCAGAGAACAGGGCTGCCTCCTCCCTTCTGCCCCACATCCACAGCTGCACTTATGCCACCTTACCTCACGGAAGCTGAGCTTCCCATCAAAGTCCTCATCCACCTCTTTGATCATGTTCTTTAGGCCCAGGTGGGTCTGTGGTGCTCCCAGCTTTTCCATCATCAGTTTCAGCTCCATCAGGTCGATGTATCCATCCCGTCCTGAGTCATACCTGTGGGGTACAAAGGGGAGAGGGTCAGTCCTCATCATTCCCTGTATCCAGGAGCATTTTTCCCAGAAGAGGAACTGAGCAAATGGAAAAAACACAAAGCAGCTAAAAATGCAGCAGACAGAAGCTGTACAACACAGATTATATTAAGCTCAGGGAAGTGGTAGGCCATTTTCAGAGCTGTCTCTTCCAAGAGGGAAGTACTCAGAAGCTCAAGCCAAACCACCCCACACAGAAAGAAGAGGAACTCTCTTATCTTGGGATTTCCATCTCGCCCACTTACATGTCCAGCATGAAGTTAATTTGCACACAGTTTATACTATGTACCAGCATGGAGCAGCAAAGGCATGCCAGAGCCAGCTGTTGCCTGCTCTCAAGCTCATTTAGAGGAGAAACAGGGTGTACAGACCAACCAGAACCTCCCCTCAAAGGAAACCATCTTCCTTTGTAAGCAAAAGACACCCACTTGGCTGTTAGGATCTCTTCTCTCTGAAATGCTTTTGTACTACATAAGCACTCTGCTTCAGGGCAGCTGTTGATTCAGTGCCCTGAGGCAGAGCACAAAAGCAGGCTGAGAGAAGCACAGTACACTGCTGTAATCCTGACTGGTGCCTGATGGCTGCAAGATAGCAATGGGAGGAGAAGAAATTTATATCCACCTTGGGACAGGTGTAGGAACGAGGCTGGAGTAGGACCACGCTCCATGAGAGCACAAAAGATTGTAAACAACTCCTTGCAGGAGGAAAGGGTAGAAATAGGGGAGGGAGGCAGTGACCTGCAGCTCTCAGACAGACTGTGCACCAGTTCCTCCCCTGACATCCTCTGCCAGTAGGAGAGGAATACACAGCACTTCATAGCCATGAGAGTCATTACTGGGTTTCAAAGTCCAAAGGCACAAGAGATGAACTCTACTATCAGACAGTTCAATAGTCATCCCTCATCCCAGCCCCTGCATTCACTCAGAATGAAAAGTCCCACCACATCAAGCTTCAAGATCCATTCCTAAATCAGCAAGTGAGTCAGACCACAGCTGCCCATTGGGGTCCAACAGAAAGCCAGGGCTCTCACAGCAGGATGGGGCAGGGTCTGGCTAGGGTCAACCCTGTCGCAGTGCCTGCTGCTGCCCTGGTCTCCTTCCCCCACCACCTCAAAGCCAACGCAGCTACATCTTCTTGGCTGTTCAGAGAGGAAGCCCTACACACTGTGCTGCAGCTCCCTTCTCTGTCAGGAGCTAGTGAAATCCTTCCATCCATCACTCATTCACTATTAGCTCTCTTCCAAAGAGCATGACAGCTCAGCCATCTCAGACCAAGACCTGCACAATTGTGGTTACTCTGGAAGAAAGCCCTTTCCAGCTGAGAAACCTCACAGCTGCAGAGGAAGCTGCGGCTGAAAAAAGCATGAACAAAGCTGCTGGCCCTGAGCCGCATACAGGCGTGGGCAGTGCAAGGCAGGGCTGCAGCCAACAGCATTGCCCCACCACAGCACTAGGTGGGGATCCTTCAAGCCAGGCATCTGCTGCTTTTCATATAGCCCCACCACCTCCCAAACCAGTTTTTATACTGTACCCCTACTACCATGACACCCAAAGTATCAAGTCTGCGAGCACTAAAGCAATAGCACCCGCTGGGCTTGCAGACCCTGCTGCTAACCTGCAGGCACATCTACAGCCAAACTTAAGGAACACTAGATGGGACAGCTTTCTGGAAAACTAGGAGAGAAACCTCTGTTGGAGCAGAAACCAGGTCACAGAGCTGACAGGCCAGGAAAGGACAAAACAGCAGGCACACTGCAGGAAAGCATCCGTAATTTAAGGTATGTGTAAGCAGCACAACCAAACCTAGCTCTGAGATGCTCTTGCAGAACTGCACTAAGTACAATCTCTCCCCTATTTAAGTATCAGACTGCTTTTTCTATAAGTTTGGGGAAAAGGGTATGGAGCCATTCCTCTAGAGACAGCTGACAGGTAGGGCCTTTGATCAGATAAGGCAGGGAGGCTCTGGGGATTTGCTTTTTTGTGTTTGTTTTATCCTAACAAGCTAATGCTGCTCTCTGGCTGGCTATGGAAGCCCTCAAACAAGGGTTGCCACTCAGAGAAGGGCAACAGAGAAGCCAGAAGGAGGGGGGGAGGTACCCAGCCCACACTTACCGTGCCCATCTCACCCCTGTGACCCAGACACTACCTGCAGGCAAACACTGGTTCTCAGTGCCTATCTTCACCTCAACACTGAGCCTGGAGGGCAGACACCATCCAGAAGGGTTAACTAGCTACACTGGGTGCCTCACCACCGGGCACAGCTTCAGGGCTCAACTATCCTGCAGAGAGGCAGCACAAAGCCAGGATTGTGAGGAACAGGCAGCAGAGCAGCACGCAGTCCCAGCCACACAATAGGTGTTCAGTGCACAGGGCTGGGCGGCCCCAGAGGAACACTTGAACACAGGACAGGCCACTGGCAAGGGGCAGCAGCTCAGCAGGCACACATCCCCCAAAGTCAGCTTCCCAGAGACAGCAGGACATGGCAGCTCCCAGACGCTCGCTGCCACCCATGGAGCAGTGCAGCACCCTGCAAACTGCTGCATTCCCTCCCCACCCCCACTCTCTTCCCAGAGCAGCATGAGTATTTTAGGACCTTGGCACAGCCACATGACCGCCGCACAGCTGCACGGCCAGACTATTTAGGGAGAGACATATTTATAGGGCATGAGAGAAGGTGTCATTATTCCCTGCTGCACACCCACGGGTGCAGGCACTTGGCACAACAGGGCACAGCACAGTTGTTACATAGATGAACCTGGGGAGCATCGGTCCCAGCACTCCTCAGCCTGACCCAAAAGCACACTGACTGCCTTCCAGGAGCTCCCCTTTAGCACCCTGGGCTCCAGCCAGGCCTTAGGACATCGCTCACCTATTGCACCACCAGCACAGCAGCCCTGCTTCTGCAGGGTGACAGACACCCTGCAAGGACAGCACAGGCAACAAGCAGAGCTGGAGGAGAGCACCGGAGCAGGTTTGGCCCCTAGATGTACCCCACCATCCTGAAAGCCACCCTGTCCTATGCTGCAGAAGTGGCACAGCAGGACTATGCAGCACCTGTGTGCCCAGCTGCCTCACCAGCCCTGCCGTCACCCTCTGTCCTGCCATGACACAAGAGCTTTGCTCCCTTCGTGCTCAAAGCTGCCCGGGCTGCCAGCCAAGGCTCACCCTAGCAACACGCAAGCATTACTGAGGGGCTCTCACACTGACAGGCAAAGATATCTCACATCTCAGGCACACAGAGATGGGGCAGCTGCAGCAGCAGGGCTGTGGTGGGTCCCCTTCTGCAGCAGTACAGTTGTGGCCCCATGGATGAGCTGGGACACTGCACACAGCTACAAGCACCGTGGCTGACACAGTAAGGCTTTGCAGCACAGTCACAGTAACAGTCCTGGCAGCAGATGAGACATTGAGCTGCTGCCAAAATCTGCTGCAACAAGGATGCACCCAGATTCCCAGGCTGGCTCACTTCCACACAGGCTGCAGCGTGTCCCTGCTGCTGGAGCACTGGGGGAGGAAAGAGGCAGCAGAATTAGGGGCAAGGAAGGAAAGAGGCAATACTTACTGAAAAGACTTATTTAAGGGCAAGAAGTGTATCATGCACAATTACTGTGCTTGTACAATCATTACAGTGGTGTTATGCAACACAGCTGGAGGTTTACACCACAGAAGATAGAAGGACTGGGTAAGGAAGAAAAGGAAAGAGGAAAAGCTGAGGACTGCATTACCAGCACTGAGTTGGCTGTTGCCTCACCACTTGTCTTAATAAGAAAACCACCAAACAAAAAAAGAATAGTTGAATGAGAAATCCCAAATACTGGAAGATCAAAGAGCAATTTCTAAATATTCACACTCCTTGAGAAAGACTGGAAAGAAAACCTGCCTTTCCTGTACACATTCACTGTACCTGAGCTTGCTGCACACACTGTGGGCAACTGTACTTTGATCTGCATCTCCTGCATGCTGTAATGGCCCAACACAGGCTCTGAAACAAATCAGAGTAATGGTGCTGAAGTGGTCATAATCTCTTCTTAAATATTTCAAAATCCTTTCTAAGCAGCACTTGATTTCCTCTGAGCATTGTGTATCATCTTACACATCAAGTGCTTTGATAACAGCTCCTCCATACTGGGGCAGGAACAGACTCCCATCACCAGCAGGGATTTCCAATCCCTCCGCCACGCTTTGCTCTTGAAGGGATAGGACAAGATGGAGGTCTCCTCCACACAGATTTCCTTTGCAGAGCTGGAGTGACACAGCCTTGGGCAGCCAAGTCCCCATCAGGATTACCTCCCTGCCCACTGGGCAGCTGGTGGCAGATCAGGGACAGCCGGTCACAGCAGGAGCACAGCCATCCCAGCATGAACAAGGGCATGCAGCACCAGTCTGCACCCAGCCCAGGCCTCTCAGGCTGCTTCAGGGGGTCGAAGGGAGACCACAGCCTTCCCCACTCGACAGGCACCAGGCAATCATGAAATGAGTGGGCAGCACATGAAATTCCCTAAGTGCAACAGCAACGCTGGAATTTATGCACTTCCTCCCACCCTGCAGACTAATCTGGCGGCTGCTCTCCTCCCCCGCTACATAGCTCAGGGAGGTCACTCAGCCCAGGCACAGCCTGGCTCTCACTCACACACCTGCCCCCAAGCTGCCTTTGCCCAGATGAGATCACAGCAAGGTGAGCTGCAGGACTCCAGAGCTCCCCAGAGCCTGCTTGCAAGACTTTGGGAAGAGAGGTTATTGTGGTTACCTCCATCACCACACAGTCAGAACAGGCAACTAATTAGGTCGCATTATAATTAGCCTGAGCTGCAGACTTCCTGGTCCCTCTGCCAAAATAAGAAAATGAAAGCCCACCCCAAGAGCTCCTGTCACCACCTGAGGCACATCAACACTTTGCAGCCGTAGCTCCTGGGGTGGCACAGCCACAGCACCCTGCTGCTGGCACCTGGCACACTCCTCAAGCACACAGGAGCAGGGATGTGATGCTCAAACAGGAGGGTGAGCCAAGCCCCACCAAACCCTTGCTCCCAGACCCCAGGGATGGGAAATCAAGAGCAGAAACTTAGCATCTGGAGGTAACAAGACAACATGCTGCTCGTCAAATACTTATTTTCTAACATTAGTAAGAAAAATCCTAGGTTGTTGTTGCTGAGGCCAATAAGCCATATGAAGCACAAAACCCTTAATCACATTAACTCTAGCTCTGACAGGCAGGAATTAAGAGGAGTATTTCCTCTCCTTCTGGAGCACGTGGTGCTGGCCAGTACTTAAAACAGGTTGCTGGTACCAGATGGAGCAAAGACCAGATCCCCTGCAGCCAACTCCAGCTGCCTCCAGCACAGCCACCACCAGGATGGGGGTTTCTATCCTCCTGCCCAGAGGGATGACACTCACCATCCCTTGGGGCCACGGGAGCACGCAGCCCAGCTCCATCCTGTTCTGGCAAGCTGACCAGCACTCAGCTGCAATGGTCCTCAAAGGGCACAAAATGCTTCCCAGCTACACTGAACTGCTGATTAGCATTCAACGGCAAAGCCTAAATTCCCCACTTGTAGGGCCTGCATTTAATGAGCTCATTGTCTAAAAATTCAGCTCCAATTCAGTTCTTCCACTTTTTATTTCCCCAATCACAGTTGTTCCCTTCCGAGTCAGCGTCCCTGCCCACTCCACACTCTTACCCTCAGCTTCTAGGCCACAGGCACAGCCGGCAGGGTTCATCCTCCTGTCCTCACAGTCCCACATCCCAGCCCTCCACACGGCACAGTACCCCTTTACCAGCTGCCAGAAGTGGCACAGGAGCAAGCAGAGCAGAAATCTTGCCCAGGCACCTCCTTCCCCATGCCCAGCTGCTGATGCAAAGCAGCCCAAACAACAAAGACCTCCGGCACACTCAGAAAGATGAATGCCTCTCCACAAGCACACAGCTAGGTTTCCCGCAGCAACAGTCCTGTCTGGGGCCAGCAACACCCCACAGAGCTGTGAAGTGGAAGCATTCAAGCGAACTCTGTCTCTCGGCCCAGCCTCCGAAATGCTCAAGGCAGCTTTCAGACAGGAGAAAGCCCTGACAAGTTACAAAGCCTGCTGCAGATACCTCTATAAGCCAAAGCAGCTCTCTGCACCCCACACAGCTCCTTGGTGGCCCAGCTCCTTGTGCTGGGCAGCATCCCCACCCCCAGCCCTGCCCCCCTCCTCCAGGCTGGGCCCAGAGAGCAGAGATTGGGGCTACCAAAAGGAAACACGAGCACAGGCAACAAAGGCACTCACACACAGCCCAAATGCAGGAGCCAGGACAGAGCATGAAGAGCACACGGCAGGGCTGGAACACGGCCCTGGTTAAGCTTTGCCTTACACAAACAGTGCTCTGCATCGCTTGAATATAGCATGAACGTTCCTGACAGGAGGGGAACTCCATCCCAGGAAAAGAGGATAAGAGGAAGCCACACTCAAGCTTCATTTGAGCGCACAGGAGGGAACACAAAGCCCGGCCAACAAGACTGCAGTTGGAGCCACAACGCCGCCGAGCAGAGCTGCAGGGGACGCTCAGCTGCTGAAGGCAGACACGCAGCGTGACTGCAAGGCACAGGGACACGGGCCCGCCCCGGGGCGCACAGCGGCAGCACCGCTCCCCTGCCGGCCCCGCCAAGCGCACAGCGGGACGCCGGACGAGGCCAAGCAAAGGTCAGCCGTACCTGCAGGCAGCAGCCGCCACCGGCAGCACCGCAGCGCTCGTCCCCCTGACGCACGGACACGCAGGTGCTCCTCCTCGTCCTACTTTCCCCATAGAGCCGCCGGGTGCCACCGCGAGCGCCCACCGCCCCCAGCCCCGGGAAAGCGGCCGAACAGAAGCAGGCGGAGCGCGGGGCAGAACGGCCGCGTCCGGCCCTCCTCGCACCCACCGCACAGCGGGGACGGAAGGAAAGCAAGGCGGCGGGGGTCCGGCGGAGCCCCGCGAGGCACTCACTCACAGGCGGAACATGCGCTCCATGTCCTTGATCTGCCGGCGGCTGAACTCCTTGAACTCGGTGTAGGGGTTGAAGACGGCGGCCCGGCGGGGCTGCGCCGCGCCCTCGTTGATGTCGTGCCGCCGGGCCAGCTTAGCGCTCAGCTCCGCGCCCGCGCTGGCCGTCAGGCAGCTCCGCTCCTCCTCGCCCTCCTCGGACGGGGCCGGGACCTCCGCTTCCCGCTCATCGCCCTCCGCCCCGCTCTCCTCCAGCAGCAGCCGCCGCTGCAACTTCTGCGCCAGCTCCTCCGAGGCCATCGCCCCGCACCGCCGCCGTTCGCGGGCCGCGCTCGCGCTGTGCGCAGGACCGCCCGGCCCGGGCCTGAACTTTATTCCCTCACTCGGAGGCGGCGGGCGGAGCGGAGCGGGGCGGGGCGGGGCGGGGCGGGGCGGGGCGGGGCGGGGCGGGGCGGTGCTGGAGGAGGCGGGGCGGCCGTGCCGGAGGGGAGCGGCGGTTCCCCCGCGTGACCCCGGAGTCGCGGCCGCCCGCAGCCCGGCGCAGCCCCGCCGTGCGGGGATCGAGCGCCCGCCTCGTGCCGCGGGGCGGTAAGCCGTGCCGCGTGCCGCCCTCTCAGCTGAAAAGAAGGCGGACAGAGCTCGGCTCGGCCCGGCCCCGCGCTCCCCCTCCTCTGCGAAGCGTGAGGAAGGCGGGCGGCCCCCCACCACCTGCCGGCTGACCGCCGCGCCGCCCCTCCCGGTCCGACCCTCCCGGTCCCTGCGGGGACACCCCGACACGGCCCCCGAAACGGGATTAGCGTGGGTTAGGCTGCGTGCTGACGGGATTTGCTCACGGGGAAGGAGAGAGAGAGAGGAAAGCACCTGCTCGTGCCTGAGGCTGAGTGTCACAGGGCAGCAGCGAGCGCTGCTTTCAAGTGAAGGCGGGCAGGAAGCGGCTTTGTGACCCCACCGCAATGTGGTGACCTCCACTGCGCCTATTAACTGAGCTCGTTGCGACCAAACCTACGCAGAAAGGGGCTGCTGAGGCCGCTCGGAGCAACCCTGGCTGCTGCTGCTGCCTGCGGCAGGCACAGGGCAGCACGCGAGGGCGTGGGGCGCCTTCTGTGACAGCACAAACCGCGGTGATGTTTTTCTCCAGCCTCAGACAGCAGGCAGGGTACGCTTACACAGACAGCTAAGCAGACAGCGAGAGGCTCAGCTCTGGAGATGAGGGAAGCGGATGGGACAGACACAATAACCAACAGGTAACAAATTATGAAAGAGAGATCAAAGGTAGATGGAATCAGGCTGTAAATATAATAGCAAGTGTCGCACAGGTTGCAAACATGGGCTACTCGATTGGCGGGGAAATGGGAGAAATTCCAGGAGTCGTGGGATAAGGAATATTAGGCTGTGATGTGCTTTTTGCTGCGTGCTCTGCCTTGCAGGATGCCCGCCAGGGTAACTACAAATTAAAACCTTTTTTAACAAAGATTTAGTCCGCCAAAAATCATTCCATTCCATTATAGCACATTTCTATTATGCCCGTCCTTCATCATTACATCTCTGGTGAAACACCTTTTCCCATCATATTAATGTGTATAATTACTAAAAAAATGCATGCTAAAATACGTTAAAAATTGTAAAGAAAAAAATACATCCAAGTATTCCGCAAAAAAATAGTCTACAAGTATAAACATGAACGTGGAAATACGTAATATATATATTTAAAAAAAACCATGCAAAATACAGAACGCAGTGATTTCTAAAGAAAAGAGAGTACATAACAGTGTTGAAAGCAAAGGAGGGCGTGTCACGTCACGGCAATTCATTGCATGGGAGACCACAATGGAATCCGGGGTGCTGTTTGATTTTCGGCTTTGTGTGCCGGGCTCCTTTCTGCCCGCTCGTCCCGCGGGTCGGGCAGCGCGGTGCAGTTGCGGCGTTGATCCGCTGGGGGCGCTGTGTCGCTGAGTGAGGGCCGTCTGCTTTCGGTGCTCGTTGGGTGGCTGTTCGTCGTTCGAGTTACTTTGGGAGGCTGGGGAAGCACGTGTGAGTGTGTGTGCGTGTGTGTGTGTGTGTGCGTGCCGTGCGGAGGTGTGCCGTGTGCGAGCGGTGCTATGAAGCCTTCCCTGTCAGGGTTGTAAGTGGTGCAGTGTCGGTGCACGTTGGGTAGGGTGGATGTCGGCGGATGTGTGAAGTCGTGGTGAGGTTCGGACCGCGTTGTATCGTTGTGTGGGTGGCATGCGGAGAGTTGCGGATTCCGCAGGGTTGCGGTTTTGGTTGGCCGGCTCTGCGGCTCTGAGCCTTTTTTTCCCTTATCGGGTGGTGGCGGTGGTGAGAAGCCGAGAAGAGGGCTGGAGCAGGAGC